AATACATGGCAAGGCTACTACTTATCTTTATTCTGACTTGATTCTCACCTACTAGTAAGGTTTCAAAATATTCATTTGGGAGGAAGGGAGGAGGAGCCTGACTTTCCCTATTAGTCTCCAGGCAAAAATAATATTAATAATAATTTATATAGAAGTCAAAATGTTTAAACAAGTTTCTTTAATTTAATTGTCAAAACTATCCAATTTAAGGCTGAAATCATTTTCTTAGTTTGCATTCATTGCCCACAGGTTTCTTAGCAACAAATTTAAATACTGGGAGGTGAGTCCATTCACAGCTGTACGCTATTGTTAGCTCTTTTACTAAACCCTGACTTAAATTTGAACCTTTAACAGAATAAAAAAGGTAAACTTTTAGAATGCTTTAAGCATTCTTAAAATGAATTTTGTTTTGCATGCAAAATTACAGGTACTACCTGATTGTTCGGTACACAGTTTGCTAAGGAAACTGGTGTATTGTTAAAGCTGAGATACTACAGCGTGAGAGAACACCACCGAAGGGCCAAATTTACAAGTTTCAAAACAAGAATGACAAAAAGTAAGATACACGCATAAATCCTCACAGCAGTAACAACTTCAATGTTTAGGATCTACAGCTATTTCAGCTGTCCTATTGCTTATGCACAGACTGACCAGAAGGCAGTCTTAAGTAAAATGTGTTCTTCTCAAGAACCTAAACTAATAGCCAAAAGGTGTGGAGTAAGGCAGGGGATACTGGATTCGACCCCAACCTCTGACTGCGTCTTTTCTGGAACTCCGTTTCCTTTTCTAGAAAAGGACAGGTTTAAAGTAGCTGAAGCCTAGGATTCTTTTCCATCCCCGTCCCCCTCCTACCTCCCTCCCACCCCAAAAAAATACGATTTGGGGTCAGTAGAGATGTTAGAATCCTGACAACTGGTGGTGAAAACGTTTCTGAATGACAACACACTTATAAGCAATTGAAGAGATAAACCTAATTTCTTCCGATATCAATTTTATTTCGAAAACTTCACGGGACTTGTTTCTTTCTTCGACAACTCCTGCAAAAACGGTGGGGGGAGGGAGGCCACAGCCCTGAGATGAGCATTGCTATGAGCATATCTAACTCTGAACTGTAGCGCGACCTTCCCAAGTTTGGGGTGCATAAGAAGCCTAAAAGCACAGGCCGGACAAGGGACGACAGGACAAGCCCGTTATCCGCCCGCCAGACTCAACCAAACCCACCCAGCCGGCTCTTCCCCAGCAAAAGCCGCTCGCCCCCCACTCCAACCTCAGGAGACCCGCTCCCCGTCTTAGGATCCCGGGATATCACCCCCCAGCTCCCTGGGGCCTCTTTCCTTCCGCAAGACTCGAGTCTCCTCGAGATTCTTGTCCACAGGTCCCTCAGCGACCAAAGAGGAGCCTCGGCCTCCTGCACACGCTTCCTTACCTTCTTCAACTCCAGATCCACGGGCGCCGCCATCTTGGCTCCCTCTCCGCGCCTGCGCGGTGGAGAAAGCCGGAAAGTGTGCGGGGGGGGGGGGGGGGGGGGGGGGGCCCCCTAGAAATATTTTTTTTCCCCCTTTCCTTTTCCCCCGGGCCCCGAAGGGGGGGGGGGGGAAAGAAATTTCTTCCTTTCTTCCCCGCTAGTAACTCTTTTTTTTTTAATATATTTTATTGATTTTTCACAGAGAGGAAGGGAGAGGGATAGAGAGTTAGAAACATAGATCAGCTGCCTCCTGCACACTCCCCACTGGGGAAGTGCCCGCAACCCAGGTACATGCCCTTGACCGGAATCGAACCTGGGACCCTTGAGTCCACAGGCCGACGCTCTATCCACTGAGCCAAACCGGCCAGGGCCGGCTAGTAACTCTTGAAAGATCCCAGGTTACGATTCAGCCTGCGGACCCCATGTGATCATTCAGGCCTGGCCTACTTCTCCACATCCTTCCAGACACAACACTACACGCAGATTTCGTGTATGGTTTTAAGCATTTTAACAAATTGCTTAGTTTGTGCTACTAAATTGAGATGTATGTAGATCAGGCCAAAGCTCTTTAGTCATTCAGCTAGTCCCTGTGCTGTCAGGGATGAGAAGAAAAAAAAAAAAAAAATCAGCCTGAGCATCAGGTATGCCAGTATGGAGAAGACCAGAATGCTACTGAAGTGTCCTTCCAAAGAACTTATTTCTCCTGAACTCTCCTGAAGACCTTTTGGCACAGTGGTTCTCGAGAGAGGCCAAATAAGTTTGTTTAAATATATATACAGATTCATTCTCTGGTCCTTATCCCAAATTTATTTACTTAGAATCTTTGAGTTTGGGGTCCAGGTTCTCACACTCTTGCAAACAGCCTTTATGACCTGATGCAAGTCATCTGCAGACCACATTTTGAGAATTTGCTGTATATGGCCAAATTTGAACAAGAAGGATGGATAGAAATTGGACTTTTGAAAAATGGAAGAAATGGATGTTTTACCTACTCTATAAACTTGTGAGGGAGGGTAAAGGACGGAAATTTGGAACCAGCCAAATCTGGATTGAAGGTTTGGTCTACCTTAACCATAGGTCTGTCTGGTTCCATTTACTGTGTGGCAGTAGAGTTTTTCTTCTCTTTTAATTTTAGAATAACAATATTGACCTAACAGGGTTATCACCTGAAGTTTTTTTGGCTGTGAATTCTTCCATTGGGAGCATTTGCTGTTCTTTCTTGTGACAGTTGATTTTCTCATATGACATAAGTTTTTGTCTAAAAACCTATCTTCAGTGTCTATCGTGTCCTGGGCTGTGTAAACATCCCTAAGGGTAGGTTCACATTCACTTCTACCAAAGCCCTATGAGATTCATGGTTCTAGACCAGTTCTTATGTTAATTCTTGATAAATATGAGTGAAGCATATTTCGGAGAAAATAAAACTTTCTCTGACCATAAAGTTGGCAGAATGTGATATACATTTATGGACTGGAAGCCACTGTATTATTTTTCCATATCTCCTTTTTTAAAATATATTTTATTGATTTTTTTACAGAGAGGAAAGGAGTGGGATAGAGTTAGAAACATTGATCAGCTCCTCCTGCAC